TGATGGGGAGGGGGGGTTGGAGGCGCGGGGGGGGGGCGTATTGTGGAACCTGGCCTTGGGGCGCCAGGGGGAGTAAATCCGGCGCTGCCCCCATGGAGAATGGCAGACCTGCAGGCTGCATACAAGTGATCTCAGCGGCATCACCGGTATCACTTGTACAAAACAAGCGGCGGCTTCCCCCGCTGTACATTTAGCTCTGCTTGCCCAAAGCCGGGCTAAATGTAGAAAACAACTACCCGCCCGGCACCCGGAACTGCATGTCTCAGGCATCGGGAGATAGGAATTCCACACCTCTGCTGCCCCTCTACTCCCTGCTGCCCCAAGGCCGGGGCCTCGGTTGACCTTGTAAGATATACCGTGCCCTGGATGAATGACCTGTGAGAACCTTCACAGACCTACTTAGAAAAAAATATATTTAGAACATTCATTTTTGGCATTATTCACCCGAAATAAACATTCGCAGGTATTAGCCGGGTGAAGGGCCCTGCAAATTGTTTATAAAATTGTCTGGGTGTCACTGTACTGATCGCGGTGATTTTACTTTCTGTTGTAGGTGGTGTATGTAGATCTCCTTCTGGTGGGCTCGTCAGGTAAGTGGTGCTAACGGAACATTTCCAAATCCAATCCAATCTTCAGAACCCAACATGTGTATAGGTTCTAGACTTGTGCGCCGTCAAAAAAAATGAGTTTCGTTTCGGAATATCCGTTATTTCGTATTTCGTAATTCGTGTCCGAAACTCAATTCGGATTCGTACGAAATACGGATTTTCGTTAGTTTCGTCACATTTTCGTAACTTTACGAACATTCGTTACGATGAAGTTAAAAAGCAAAAATACCTTTGTTAATATTGGAGTCGATGGTAACGGAATTCCGTATTTCAGATTTAAAAAAAAAAAAAACTACCATCGACTCCAATATTAACGAAGGTATTTTTGCTTTTTAACTTCATCGTAACGAATGTTCGTAACGGAACGAAAATCAGTTAACGGAATTTCGTATTTCCTGCCTGTGTATTGTAATGCGACTCTCAGCAGCAGAAGAGAAAACCTCTGATTGGTCAACCAAACAGTCATTTTTTTTTTTTTTTTCCGAAATACGAAATTCCGTTAACGGATTTCGGATCCGAATTGCGTATTTCGGATAAAAAAAAAACAAAAATCTTGTCATGTTGTTCAACCTCAGTCACAGGGGTAATATTAGTTCCCGTTTCAACGAAATTCGGATCCGAAATTCGTTAACGGAATTTCGTATTTCGGATATAATTCGGAAACTGCCATTCGGATTTCGGATGCTTCCGAATCTACGAATTTCAGGAAATTCATACGAATTTTGATTCGTAACGAAACGAATCGCACATGTCCAATATGTTCTTTCTATTCGCTTCTTCCCATCGTGTCCCACCATTGGAGATAAAGCAGCGAGAATCACATGTTGTACATACTGGGGGGAATCTATCAAAACTGGAGCAGACAAAATCTGGAGCAGTTGCCCGTGGCAACCTTTACAGTTCTATCTGAACGTGGCAGAGTGTACAGTCGGATTGCTACACGTGTGGTCTATTCTCTCACGCTTGCAATAGCTAATTAACATGAACATATAACTCTGAATCAATCTGATACTTCCACTCTTTAATTACCCCTTCGAGCAACTGACACACATTGCTAGCACCCAGTGACCATAGTGGCCCTATGTGGTCTAGAGGGGCTACAGAGAGGGGGGAACCATGAGGGGTGAGCTGTCTGTCCACGTCTACTGCTTATAACTCGCCTCCCCACCAGCCCGCTGGGACCACTTGCCGCTGCGGTAGTTGGCTGCTCCTCCCCGGCTCTGACGTGTCACAAGATGAAGGGCAACCTGGGAGGAATCCCCTTGCTTGCCATGATGTAGCCGAGATCTGGTAAGTTCAGGGAGGAAGAGCAGAATTGTGCTGGGGGCCGCAATGACCCGGGGGGGATGGTGATTTGTGTGTGGAGGAGAAATTTGGGAGGGAAGGTGAGGACTCGTGCCGGGAGGAGAGATTTTGGGTGGGGTGAAGATGCTCTCACATGTGGCAGAGCAATTGAAGAATATTTTATGGCACATGGGACAGTGGCAGATACGTGCCATGCATACAGCACGTGGGCTCGGGTTTTCTTTACCGTGTCCCTTTACGCATCTTGCCCACACCCATTGTTCACTAAAATGTTTCTTCTTGGAGTGCTCCAAGGTGCGCCAGGTCCTAGCAGAGCCCCTGCTCTGTGGACTGAGCCTCTGATGGCTGCCCTAAGGGTCCAAAGCAGCCAATTTTGAGGGCTTCTAATTGGACACATTGACACCAATAAAACTTTTGGGGAGGGTTCTAATTGACCACCAATATAAGGGGGCATATTTCCTCCCTCCGACCATCAATGCAGGGGAATAGTTTTCCTTCTATTGGCCACCAGTGTAAGGGGGCATTCAAAACCATGTTTGTGGTGGTAGAAGACAATGCTGTGGCCCCGGGCCCCATGACTCTGGTAATTTGGATGATGTTCAATGACATTTTATTTTCTCTTTCTGTTTGGCGAGGGGGGCCCTATAAACATTTTGCTCTGGGGCCCTATAAACATTTTGCTACGGGGCCCTAAGATTACTAGTTGTGTACCTGCTGGTATTATAAATAAAGATGCTCATAAAATATTGATAATTCGTGTATTAAATGAAGATCACATCAAAGAAATTCAGAATGAGACATTGTATAGAATATTCATTGTTATCTCATATTTCCGCCTCCCCCCACAGATAACACTGAAGTGGTTGCTACCCTCTATAACACTGTCACCCTCCGGTGCTCATTTCCCTTCATACGGGGGTCAGAAGGCCTGTCGGTGGTCTGGGAGAAGAACGGCGGGGGAAGATGGATCGTACACAAGTTCATGAAGGGTCAGGACCAATTGGAGGATCAGGATATAAAATACAAGGAACGCACGCAATTGTCTAAAGACTTCTCAGAAGGGACGGTGGAGCTGACACTTCGAGGTGTCACCTTCAGTGATGAGGGGCCGTATTACTGCCGAGCCGTCAATGATAGAGGCCATGGGGACCAGAAAGTGCAATTAACCATAAACGGTAAGTTCCTCTCCACCCAGCCTATGCCCTGAAATACGCAGCTATTCTGACACTCCAGGTCACCAGCTCCATACTATGCAACCTGCAATGTTCCCACCCTGTTATAAGACCCGCGTCTTCACCCTTTGATGGGGAGCTGGACTTTCCTTACAAGGGCGGATATGGGCCATAAGCCGGACTTTTTTAGGGTGGCTATTCTAACATGAGCAATAAAAGCTCAGTTTTGGGTTCTAAGCTCTAACCCCAGAGGACCCTCTGTTCCCTTAAATGACCCTTTCCAGATGTCTTCAGGCCAGTCACGTGACATGCAAGGTTCTCCACCTCTCCGGACCTTATCCTGGTGGTGGACAGTCCTCAGAGATACAGAGATCGGCACTGAGGTGACAATGTTAGCTCCACTCTCTGCGTCATTACACCGTGAGTGCAGGCCCTGAAGGGGCAGCCCCATGATACCCCCGAACCCTCAGTATGCCCTCAGTCTTCCAGGATAAATGAAGGAAGACTGAGGGCAGCTAGCGGTGAAACGTAATTACTGCATATGACATCAGCACAGCTCCCTGCACTATTGTACTGTGAGCCCATGCTGATGTGATGACACACCCCCCCCCCCAGTGGGCGGGTCCATGACGCCCTGGGCTCACAGGAACTGGGCTGAATGATGCTGGTCATATAAGGACCAGCAGCTGGTGATGGAGAGAAGCTTCTGCATGGGACAGTGCTGGAGACATGTTGAGTAATGCCGTGAGCCTTTTCTTTTTGTTAAACCCCCGGGCAATGTATTTGTAGCGATAACTCCCCCCGCAGGGAGCCGCTGTTCGCCCGGTCCACATCTAGGTCGGTCTCAGGGGTTGATTTCCAGCTGCGCCCCATTAGCCCTAACCGCCCTCTTCTGTTGCCCATAAATTGATGTCCACTTTAGTAGTAGAATGCTAAGGAACAGTTTATTGAACATCTTCTTAGGGAGAGAGGGTATGGGCGGGGAGTTCTAGGTGTCTAGGGGTGACCATAAGAAGCTCCAGACTCACCGGACCTTGCAAGAGTAGTAATGCAGATCCACAATCTAGGAAAGGAACACTGACCATGCTCTGAAGTCCACATAGATCGAGGGCACTTCAAGAGCCTGTACTGGTCCTGGTTCTTCTCTTCTTTCCATCTCTCAGGCCTCCTCCATGTTGGAGGCCTCAGGAAAACCTCTTCCCTCACTTCAGCCCATGTCCGCCTCGGCCTAGCCCGGGGGGCAGGCTGAACAGGACCCAGCCCTAATCCATGGCTGGTCCAGGCGAGAGAGAGAGAGAGAGCACATGGCAGCTCCCACCAATATATGTACACTCTCCCAGCATGCACCACTGAATGTAAGAAGCCCAGTGGTTGGCTGCTGTACTGTACACACATTACAGTGTCTCCTATTGGCTGTCCCACAATATGACAGGGTCACACTCCACCCAGGGGGGGGGTACAGGCAAGGCTAGACACCTGGGATTAACCATATAATTGCCACTACAAATCCAGCCAGGCTGTCTACAGCCCCCGGCTATCACTAAATGCATAGTAGTCACATCACAGAAGGTGACGGGCGCTACATATTATTCCTACAAAATATAAAACGGAAGTGTAATGGTAACATTGTCTCTTTTATTTTTAGAATTAAATGCAGAGGAACCTATGGTTACCGTCGCTCACATTGATGGCAAAAAGCGTCTGAAGTGTATTGAAACTGGCGCGTTCCGGGTTCCCGAGGTCAGGTGGTACGACAGGGAGGGCAAGGATCTCTCTGCACATGTAACACATAACATAACTGTCCTCGGGGACGGCAGGATGAGGGTGGAATCCGTGCTTGACCTGGATGTGGAGACAAATGCACATTACTTCTGTCAAGTGAAAGAGGGGAGACTGAAGAGGACCGCCCGAGCTGTGATATCAGGTATTGTGACCCAACAAAGTCTCATGTGATGGGGGGGATCGCAGCAAAAAGCAGCCCAGAGGTGCAGCCAGAAGACCAGAACAGACTCAGCACTGGTGTTGCCAGTGCTGAGCACATAGATGCAAAACAGGAGAAAAGTCCTACAACTCCGAGTCACCAGCACACAACTCTGAGCAGCACTCATCAACAGTTTTCAGCAACTGTCAATTTCCAAGCATTAGAATTCCAGCATGCCAGGGAAACATAAGGCACCGTAGACCTTAGCCTGTTCCTTTCCCTTTAAAGGAGAACTATGAGGGGGGAGGGGGGGGGGGTTTTCACTCACCTCATAGTTCTAGCCGACCTGTGACAATGAGACTGTCACAGGTCGGCTCAGTAGATCCGGAGGTGAGCGAACACATACCGGCGTTCGCTCACCTCTCGATCCTGTCACGGCTCTCTGCCGTGACAGGGGAGGGGCTGGATTCCCCCCGCTCCGACCCGCAAGCGCTGACTGGCTGAACGGACGGGGCAGGGGGCGGGTACAGCTGGCTCTGCCTATAAATAGGCAGAGCCAGCTGTCACTCACGCAGCTGGGCGGATCCAGACACAATTGTCGGCTTCAGCTGCGGCGTCTCAGTATACCGCGAGCTGTAGCTCCCTATATACTGAGCCTAGGGTATATATACTGATATAGCTCCCTATATACTGAGCCTAGCCCCTCCCCTGTCACGGCAGAGAGAGAGGTGAGCGAACGCCGGTATGTGTTCCCTCACCTCCCGATCTACTGAGCCGACCTGTGACAGTCTCATTGTCACAGGTCGGCTAGAACTATAAGGTGAGTGAAAAGGCCCCCCCCCCCCCCCCCCACATCTGCCTTGTGACGCCACTGCAGTATGTATGTATGTATGTAAGTATGTATGTATATAAAGTGTTAGAGAGTTAGCTAGTACTACCAAGCAGCACACTATATAGTCTATATGAATATCAAAGGCTTTGCAGCTTATTACATTCAATCAGACCTTGAATGCTTATTTCAGATACATGAGCTACAGGGAATTCGGTCGAAACTATTGCTTTTATCTTTATTTGTATTTGGAAAACTATAAGGTGAGTGAAAAGCCCCCCCTCCCCCCTCATAGTTCTCCTTTAACTCCTCAATACACTTCCCCAGTGATGATCAGGCCCAATCTGCTGGTGTTTAGATTGTTGTCCACCAATCACATTGTGTCCATCCCAATCTGAGGTATTAAGGGGAACGCTGTCCACCAATCACATTGTGTCCATCCTAATCTGAGGTATTAAGGGGAACGCTGTCCACCAATCACATTGTGTCCATCCCAATCTGAGGTATTAAGGGGAACGCTATCCACCGATCACATTATGACCCTTGCACCAGCTCAGTGAAGTTGTAGCTTGGGGAGCAGACTTGATCATCTGAGTATATACTATATACAGAGAATTACATTGTCATCCTTCTACATATACTACATTTAGAGCCTCATCCAGAAGGCTCCGTCCTAGGAATCGGCAGGGGAAGGGTTTGCAGGCCGGAGTGTAGAGCAGAACATTGCCATCCATTGCTCCTTCATGAGGCCTGAAGTCCCATATCTCCGAGTCATATTATTAATAATGAGAAGCGTTCACAAGAAACATTGTTTCAGATTGATCTCAGGTGTGGATACAAAGTACCAATGAAGGGATCTCATGGCTGCGGCGTGTCCTCACTACTCGGGGACATCAAAGACCGATCCGTGTGCTGGATATAGAATAGCTGACAATGAGACGCCGCGCATGGAATAGAAGAGAGGAAGATTTTCACAACGTTTCCTATTATATCCGTTGTGAACGCGCACCCCCCGCCCCGCCGCCCCCACCCTCCTTCCCGCGTGATACTTCAACACATAACAACATAGATTCGCATAAAACCACTTCCTGTTTATACCTTGAAGGGTAAAGTGACACTAGACTTTGGAGTTAAATCTTAATAATACATTCCGGAACCTTCACTATGAATAACAATGTATCTTATTTGTGTATCACTCGGCTGCAGATCCTCCAATCATCTCTGACACTGTCCTTCCTTCTGGAGGGTGACTACGTCTGTTCCCCATGCTCCCTGTGTGTGTTGTAGAGTAGTCACCGCTCCAAGCCCCCCCCCAAAAAAAAGATGGACTACAATCTCAATACAAATCAGTAAACTAAACATGAGATTGTAGTCCATCCCGGGGGTGGGAAGAGCTTGGAGCGGTGACTACTTTACAACACACAGGGACCACGGGGAACAAAAGTAGCTTCCTCCTGCCTGCAGCAATCTGATCACTGAGGGACCACGGGCAACAAAAGTAGCTTCCTCCTGCCTGCAGCAGACTGATCACTGGGGGAGGGGAGACTGAGGGAAATGCTTCCTCCTGCCTGCAGCAGACTGATCACTGGGGGAGGGGAGACTGAGGGAAATGCTTCCTCCTGCCTGCAGCAGACTGATCACTAGGGGAGGGGAGACTGTGGAAACGCTTCCTCCTGCCTGCAGCAGACTGATCACTGGGGGAGTGGAGACTGAGGGCTGTCAGCAGACTGGTGATGTCATCTTGTGATGCTTTTGCAGGTTTGAATGGTGTGAAATCTTATTCTCCCATTTCAGCAGCCAATGCAGGTCCTCCCCCTGTCAGCCTGATCTGAAGTTTCAGGTTGTGGGATAACTGAAGGAGGTCTATAAAAGTTTTGAACATTTTAGCAAATATATATATACATTATATGGGCAGAATCAATCAGGAGAACACCGCAGGGTGACAAAGCTGCTCCTCCGTAGATGCAGTACAATGAGCGTTGTCACCCGAGGACAGGAAGCATGTTACTGGCACGATCACCAGGTGAAATATTAAAGGTCTTCTACATCAGTGGCAAGGACCAGTGGCGTAACTATAGCCATAGCAGGCGGCCTGGGCTCCTGCTATGGGGCCCGGGGGTCGGAAGGGGCCCCATTAGGTTGAGACAAATGAAACATAGAAGAGAACACCGAGCTGTCTCCTGTAATGTCTAAGTGTAGGAAAGCCAATGTCAGATGCACAAGAGGAATCCTTGTGTGATTATCCACAGCTCAGAGAGGGGCCCCCCCTCATCACATTTGTGCTACGGGGCCCCATGATCTGTAGTTACGCCCCTGGAAAGTTGCCCCCCCCCCCCAATAGAGGGTGAAGGTGACACCATCCTCCTCCTGGACAGATCTCCCAAAATGTTAAGGAGCCCAAATCTGGTGAGAAGATGATCCTGAGCTTCTGTGTCTTCTCCTGACATTTGGGCTCCTCAACATTCCCAGGGATCCTACCGGCAGGATGATGATGATGTCACCTCCTGTGCTGAGAGTGGTTGGGGA